GCAGCCACACTTTGACTGAAGACTCTTCAGAAAGCACGCTGTACTCACCCATACCCTGGAACAGTTGTGCTATTCTGTGGTCCCGCGTCAAATGTTCCACCCAGTGGGACTCTCCCCCCAAACCAAATGCACAGCCCCCATTGGATACGACTGGCCAGACGGGGAGTGTAGAACAGGGGCCTGTCCGAGCTGGAGCAGTGCGTGGCGTTGATCGAGTTGGGGTCGGTCAAGCTGGCTAGCCGCGGGTCTGAGGGGCCTGTTATATCCAGCCACACTGCAGCAGCTCTGGGCCCTCTGAAAGCCAGGGCAAGGACAGGCTTGGGGGCACAGCTCTGCTCATACCCTGAGGGCAGGCATCCTGAAGCAGAAACACAGAGTCGTGTCACTGGTCACCCATGGTGTCCTGAGGCAGAAAACGTACCTGAACGGGCAGAACCCTCTTACTGTAGAAGACTTTACTTTGCTGCCATCTAGTGAATAAAATAAAGGCTTTGCATTGAAATAAAGGATTTTATTTAGTCTATTTTTTTCTCTCCCATGGCTTCTTTTTTAAAATTTTCATATACTGTAGTAGAACATTGCATTTCCAATCACATTCTTTGTCATGTTCTTAATTTAGCCCTTATTTCCTCTGTTTAGTTTTAAACATTGTGCCATCTGAGAGACATACTCATTAAATTCCTCTGCCATTGCACCAAAACTCTTTATTGCTACATTACAATGCCTCTGATGCCTCTCTTCACCCATACCATATAACAAACAGTCTCATTCAGAATCCTGTACCTGTGCTGTTTTTCAGCAGACTATGTGTTGGGTAGAGCAGACGAAGTCCACAGACATCTAGGTTAGAGCTCAGGAGCAGCTGCAGAGTGTGGAGAATCACAAGAGGATCCTCAAAGAGGGTGCTGTAGCCCACAGCCATGGCCACCTGGAAACGACACATACTGTAGTAAATAGGGATGGTGGTATGAGAATAGTCAAGTATCTGCTTTCATACATTTTCCACAGGAGATATTTTACCATAGTTCTATATAACTGTTCTGCATGAGTTCATGTTTGAAATGAACTTAATGAGGATAATAAATCATATTAGCAAACAAAAACTATAAAGTGTTCAGTGGTTTAAAATAATTTAACTCTAAAGGATCTGTATTATCAGAAAAAAAGTGATGATTAAGTTGGAAGTAAAACCTCCACTTAACCTTTCAATGACTTTAGAGATGCAGCACAAAGATGGGCATGAGTTGTCTCATCTTTCTAGCGTACCTCAGTATTGGGGTGTTGACTGTCTGCTGTTTCTCCTGCACTCTCACAGATCTGTCCTTCTATTTCCACAGTCTGCCAGTAGAAGCCAGGAGTCGTCCCAAAGGCCTTCTCTAGTGCCTGAACAATATTCACCAAGTAAGAATAGATCTCTTTGACACTACACTCTGAGGTTTAACACACACCATTGCCATAAAGTTTAAAGAGGGACAGTTCAGGACTTATACTACAACCAGTTACCGAAGAACTCTTGAAAATTAAGAGAATGTGCCTGCAAACAGGGTGCTCTTCTTTACAGAACATTATGGGTGTCTGGAACAAGTTAGTTACATTAAATTTCCCAAGATCATTTAGATAAAGGCTAGATGAAATCCTTAGATGAACAGCATCAAATAACTAAATGAACTGTATTTGCTGAATTATGGTTTGCAATTTTTCTGCTGTTCTAGATATAGCAGGTCTCTGTAAAACACCCAAAACAGTCTATCAGGAAATCAGAGTACACCTTTTTCTATTTTAATGACAGGAGAAAAATAAACTCTTCTAACTACAACTCTATTGGCCATACAGTCCTTTAAAATGTTTAGAAATATGCTTACACCCCAGGCTGTGAGCTGGAAAAAGCCAGCATCTCTTACCTTCCTCTCAGGGTTGACACAGATAAAGCTGTCAAGGCGAGCAGAGGGCACATTGATATGCAGGGGGTATGACTGCTTGGCAAGGAGAAAATTCAGGTCCTGTGCCCAGGGGACAACAGCGTGCAAAGAGGTCTGGGATAGGAACTTGCAGACCCGCTGGTAGAACACTGAACTGCTTCTCTCCCCCTCTCTCTTCTGAAAACACAAACAATAGCACTCTTACTGTAAAGGTAACAAGGCACAACCACATCTGTAAGAGGTCATACGTGATACTTGTTATTGGATGTATTTAAAATGTAGCTTCCTATCATTCAAAAAAGATAATTAGATACCTGCTAATAACACTTTAGTAGCATAACGTCAAACCATATGTTTGTATTGTTAATACAACCCTTTTTTTGACGCACGTAAACCTTTTCAGAAAACATACAGTATCAGCTTTTAAAAATTGCACAAACTGCACCACGTGAAAGGACGTATCCTCTCATCCTTTATAATAATCAGCAAGTCAACGACTATGAAAAAAGGAAGCCAGATAAAACAAAAATCTTCCGGGATAATTCTTTTCTGTCAAAATCTTTTCATTGTCCACTTTTCAAA